TATATATGCATACCCATGTTTATCACGGCTTTGTTCACAATAGCAAGGAGTTGGAAACAACCTAAGTGCCCATCAACAAACGAATGGGTAGAGAAACTGTGGTATATTCACACAATGGAATACTACGCTGCTTTGAAAAACAAGGAACTCATGCAATATTATTCAAAATGGGTGACCCTGGAGGATATGATGCTGAGTGATATATCTCAGTCACAAAGGGACAAATGCTATATGGTGCCACTGTTGTAGAATGAGGCTGACATCGGCGTGGGGGTAAGAATGAGAAAAACTGGATAAATGATGTGTACTGCATTGAAGTCTATGAGGGAGAGAATAGTTTAAAAGTATTATATTTTAGGGCAATTTATTTATCATAAGAGTACATAATGAGGGTTGCAGAGTGGATTATATTTGGGGTGGTGGTGGGGCTGGGGGGTGTGCGGGGGGATTGTGTACCAATGAAGGAGTTTTTCCTTTGCTTTTCAAGGAGAGGAACGAATAGGGGGTGGGAGTGGAGTGGGTGGGGAGAAAAGTGCAACAATGAATGAGTGAATTCCGAAATCTCTGTAGATGTTCATTGAAATGAAAAAAAAAAATAAAAAATTTAAAAAAAATGTAATCTGAAAACTGAATACCAGGACAATGTTTGGCTATCCTGGTCATGTTCTGATGCCCTTTATGAATGTTATACTGTTCATTCTTTTAAGGCTGGCCCTCACTGCCATGAATAAATTTGAAGAAGCAGTTACAAGTTATCAAAAGGCATTGGATCTTGACCCTGAAAATGATTCCTATAAATCCAATCTCAAAATAGCAGAACAGAAGTTACGAGAAGTAGCCAGTCCTGTAAGTTATGTCAAATGAGTGAAATATTATCTGTTATTCACAATTTAGTATAGTCAAATTGTAGTAGTTGGAATGAATCTCAAATAAAATTGTCTTGCAGACAGGAACTGGATTGAGTTTTGACATGGCCAGCTTGATAAATAATCCAGCCTTTATTAGTATGGTAAGTATATGCCTTTTTTTTTTTGTCTGTTGTCTATTTCTCATAGAACCATATAGTTGTAATACTTTTTAGAATATTTAAAGAAACTTTTGTGTTGAGTGGTGGCTGGTGTGACAAAGGTTTTTAATCTGTTCATAGACATCTTTGTGAGAAAACCAGGGATGAAGGTCAAAAAGCTCATAGATTTTCTGATATGGCATGTAAAATTTGTATACATGTAAACATAATGGAAATTTACAATGGAGAAAAACACCGTACGTTTTCATCAGATTGATGGGGGAGCCTGCCTGGTCCCAGGAAAATATCTAATAATTTGTGTCTGAGGATTTTATCTATAATGGTTCCGTAAATTCTGTCTTTGGTATTTCTGCTGTCCTTTCCATCTTAAGAACTTATTTTAAATTTTAATATAATTCTCATGTATGTGTATTCCATCCTTCAAATTGACAAAAGCATGTTGGGACTTTTTAAAAAATGGATGTGCACACTGATTTGGTGTGTCTGGGTTGTTCCTTGGACATTTCCTTTGATGGCTACATACTTCTGACTGAGAACAGCTCTGCTACATGCTATGCCTTTGGAGGCAAGGAACCACTTCTTCATCTTTGTTTCCTTCAAAAGAGCACCGACATAAAAACTGTTATGTGTTAGTCATCAAATAACTATCCTGCTCCCCTTACCCTTCTTTCCTCCCCTGGCCCTACTCTCAAACAACTCTTTAAAGTACTGAAGAGCAATGATGCCCATTTAAAGACCAAGGTGAGTCTGACCCAAGCCATGGTATAGTCAGCTTCTTTATATGCCTATTTGGGCTGGATAATGAATAAGAAAGACAGAAGAAATATTCATACCTTTGAGTTATGATATTTTCAAAGAATGTTGACTATACAATGGACTGACAAGAACGAATCTGTTTTGGAGGAAGTTCATCCAGATTGCTCCTTAAGAAACAAGGATCCTGAGACTTTGTCTCAGGTCTTTGGAAATGTTCTCAGGTGGGTGCTGGACACCATGCTCAGAAAAGTAGAGGGTCAGTGAAAGACAAAAATATCCTCAATGAAGTGGATTGACACAGTGCCTGCAACAGTAGGTTTAAGCACAGCAGAGATTGTGAGGATGCTGTAGGAGAGAGCATGGATTCATTCTGTTTGACCTCAGAGCTGATTTCAAGAGCACCTCGCAACAATAACAAAAATCTTGACCAGGGAGTGGCCCAATATCTTGGTCAGTGATATGAAGAAAAAGGAGTTGCAGCATCATGTGGGAGAAATAGCCCCTAATTGTGCTGTCCTTTTCTAATGCAAATGGACAATCTGTATCAGACCTATGCTGAAGAGGGAGAAGTTTTACCTGTAAAGGAAGTTTTATGTATTTAGTTATGGCACCGAACAAGGCATCTTTGCGACTGAACTGCAGGTCCTCTTGTAACTTAAAGTAACTTGTTGAGTACCATCGAGGTGGAGTCAACTCATGGCTGACCTTCCAGCATGTTTTCAGAGGCAGTAAACTGCACAGGAGATTGCCCATCTTTCTCCCACAGAGCAACTAGTGGGTTAGAACTGTGTACCTTTGGTTTGGAAGCACAATTCCTTACAATTAGACAACCTCTGTTTAGAGGACTTCTTACTTAAAAGTAAGTGACCAGAATAACTATTGGAACAACTCTAAATATATGACTTAGATTATAGGAAAAGAGAAAGAACTAGTTTTACAGAACCAGCTTACAGGAATGGTGGAACAAAACCCAAATGTTTATAGCCTTCTGTATAGTACCTGTCTGTGCTTATACTCTTTCTGTGTAATGCTTCTATTATTCAAGTGTTGGCTCCTCACTGACACTGAATTTATTTGCAGTCCAATCAAACCATTATCTTTTTATTGTTTTTTTTACATTGGTTTGGATATAAAGTTTGTATACATTGTGTTTCACACTATCTGTCATTCACATTTGTTTCTTTCATACATTCTCATTCATTGTTTTTTATAAAATCAATCATCATAGAACCATGCCCATCATTACCCTGTCTTTCCAGATGCCCACTGGATCTTTCCATTTCCTTTATCTCTACCCACCAAATTATGAATCCCTATGATTTCCCCCCACTCACCCTTATCCCTCTGTTTCCACATCTTCCCACCTTGGATCCCATACTCATTTTACTAGTTTTCCTTCTGCTTTTACAATAATGAATTCTACACATATTTATCCTTATGAGACTGAATTAATTCTTTCAGCATAATAATACCCTTCAGTGTCTTCTATGTTATGTAGTAATTTTTGAAACCATTGCTCCCAGTGCTGCATAGTATTCCATCATGTGAACCAAACTTTCTCAATCAATTCAATTGTGGTTGGCTATTTTGGATGTTACCATGTTCTTGTGCTTGTGAACAACACTGCTATGAACATTGGTGTACATATCTCCATTCCTGGGAGTTATATAGCTGGTTCATATGCAATCTCTGTGTTTAGCTTTTTGAGGAAATGCTAAGCTGCCTTCCAGAGTGGTTGTACCATTTTACAATCCCACCAACAGTGTATGAAAGTTCCTGTCTCTCCACATCCTCTCCAACATTTATGCTTGCTGTCCTATTAAATGTTGCCACTGTTGTGCAATGGGTATCTCATTGTGGTCAAACCATTAACTTTTGATAATAAAATGCTTTTCTTGTAATCTTTTATGTCCTTAAAATTTACTTTAATTACTTTTTCTTAGTACTTTATACTTTTTCCATTCATTTTGTATAGCACACTGTTGTTGATTGCCTTCAAGTCGAGTACGACTCACTGTGACCCTATGAACAAAAGGCCTGAACCCCCTCTTATAACTATTGACATTTATCAGTTTATAGAGTTCCCAGAGGCAAGTTGTTTTTTACAGTTCTGTAAAGTGTACATTGTTTAGCCACAACTTAAATAAAACTTTGTTAAAGACACAAAATATGAAATGTGTTTAATTAAGATGCTGTTTTCTGTCTCCAGGCAGCAAGTTTAATGCAGAATCCTCAAGTTCAACAACTGTAAGTGCATAGAAAGAGCTTACTACATTTTCCCCATTCACCTACCAGGCTCTAAAGTCTAGCAGTAAAAATAACCTTGAGTGGTAGCCACTGGGAACTTAGAGTCACACTCCTACATGATTTAAAGAAACTGTTTAACTGTTGTTTCATTGATCAGTTATCCTGCTTTGTAAGAAAGCTTGCTAATCCCAGTGATGTGATACATTTCTTGTGTACTCTAGCATGTCAGGAATGATGACAAATGCCATTGGGGGACCTGCTGCAGGAGTTGGAGGCCTAACTGACCTGTCCAGCCTCATTCAAGCGTAAGTACTTACAAGAGAAATTGTGAGAGGGGAGCTCTGGTGGCCTAGTGGCAAGGAGCTGCAACTACAATCCCAGAGGCGCCCGGTTCGAATCCACCAGATGCTCTGCCGGGGAAGGAGGGGAAGGAGGGGCAATCTCCTCCTGTACCAGTCAGATCTGATGTGACGGTACACGCACACAAAAAAATAATAAAATAAAATAAAAATTGAAAAAAAAAAGAGAGAAATTGTGAGGTAACCACTTAACATCTCAGGAAACTAGATGAGAACAATATTGGTAGGAGGAGGTTAAACTCTTGGAAAATGTATTGCTGTCACATTGGAGCTAACTCATGGCAGATGACCCTTTGGTGGATTTTCAGGAGGCTGTAAATTGCACAGGAAAATTGCACATCTTTCTTCTGCAGTTGTTGGAACAGAACTGTTAGAAAGTTATCACCTTTGAGTGAGCAGCACACCTCCCTATGGACTGGAAGGGGAGAAGATAATTTATATTCATATTCAATGACTAAGAAATTGAGGTACAAATTAGTGACTTATTAAGGCTCTCAAGGAATCTATGGAAGAACTTGATCTACAATTAGTTTTTCTGAAATTGATTATGCTGTCAGTATGTTCACAGTTGCTACTTAGTTGGTTCTGACTCTATGTATGCCAGAGTAGAAGTGCTCTGTAGATTTTTGGTGGCTGGTTTTTCAGAAATAGATCACCAGTCTTTCTTCTTGAAGTGCCTGTGAGTGAACTTAAACAGAAAACCTTTTTGTTAGTAGTTTGAGTATTTTAACTGTTTACACCAGCAAGGAGCTCCTTGGTGTGTTAATTCATTCAGTGTCTTAAATGGGGTTGTCACTTACAGAGCTTCCTAGGATTAGTGATGTGGAGGTTCTGATGGCAGGGAGAGAAGCAGCAAAAATCATAGGTTCAAATGTAATGTGATCTCATGGATAAAGCAATTTATTTTCATTTTCCAAAATATCAAAGAAAAGGGTTTTTTTTTGTAGTTAAATATGTAGCTGCACAAGGAAATATATTGAAATACAATATCTTCATTTAGACACAGATAGATATTTAAAGATAATTTTACATATGTGAATTTTCAGAAAGTTTTTTTCTAGATTCCTATTGTAAGACACACTTCAAAGCCTTTTTAAATAATGTCAGTAGAGAAAGTCTTTTAAGTCCTCACTGCTTGAGGACATAAACCTTCACTTCCGTTCAAGTAGCTTAAGATAGTCTATATTTTTGCCTCTCTGCATGTGATGTTGTTACTGTAAATTTTATATGAAGTCACCATTTGCTTCTTTTGCTCTATATGAATAAGATAATATAACATTTTTGGAGTGATCTTTAAGTTGGATGACTGATTATAAAGATGTCCACCATTTGCATTTGAGGGTCATTGAGGGTCACATACTCACTTGGGATGGCAAATGGAATTTCTGCCTTTTTAATCAGTACTGTTAGAAAACCTCTGTCAGCATCTTAAACTAGTTGTTACACTCTGTAACCATGGGGCTTGAATATAAGAGAAAACACCTTGCATTATATTTGGATGTATCTATAGAAGCCCTTGGCTGCTTTGTGGTTGGCTCTGTTGTAGGGTGTCATCGAGTTGGTGCTGACCTTGATACGACAGAGTGAAATCTTGCCTGACCCTGCGCCACCACCGCAGACTCTGTCGAGCATAAGCCCAGCGCTCCAGTCACTGTGTCAGTCCATCTCTTTTGCTGACTCTCCACTTTTCCAAGTGTGATGTCCTTCATCAGGGAATGCACTCTCCTAACAACATGAGATGAAGTCTCACTGCCCTTGCTTTCTAGAAGCATTTAGCTGCACTTCTGGAGCAGTGGATTTTGTCCAGTTCAGACATTAACTGTTGAGCAGTAGTGTTTTAGTTCTTACAATTTTTTGCGATAATTCCTTTTTGTGGTAGCACTGGCAAATTTGTTTTTTATGGGGGGAAATGTTCCCTTTTGGTAGTTCCCTAGTCCTTTGAAGTTTCTTTATATGAGTGATATGCAAATTAGAGACCCACCCTTGAACTCTCACATACCACCTTCTTCATTACAGGGGACAGCAGTTTGCTCAGCAGATACAGCAGCAGAATCCTGAACTTATAGAACAGCTGAGAAATCATGTCCGGAGCAGATCATTCAGCAGCAGCACTGAAGAGCACTCCTGATTTGACAAGGCTCATTGGCCCAGAAAGCAAATGATTTATGACTCTGAAATCTTCACTGTAGATAGTGGCCAAAAACAGCACCATACCTGCTATTTGAAAATAATGGAGGAAAAACTCTTGTGTATATTCCATAAGAATAAATCTGTTTAGACAATAGGTTTACTACAGACTTGAACATATCATGATTCCTCTGGATGGCTTGTTAGTTGAAGTGCCAATTCAGCACTGGACAAGGTTACATTTTCAAACCTTTGTTATCATATTTGTATATTAGACATAACAGCAGAGTATATTTATTGAATAGTAGTGCTGTTTACTGGTGAATTTTCTAGCTCCAGATTCCCTTAAGCAGACTTTTTTTGAGAGAAGAGATGAGTAAGAGGAAATGTTTCTGATGATAGTCTAGGGAAAAAAAATCTATCTTTACTTGCCACTGGAATGATTAAGTAGCATTTCAGGAGAGAAGAAAGCTGCTCTGTAGGTTTAGCTTTGATCATAGGCTTGAGTACCATCTTTAATGCTGCTTGTTCTGAGTGGCAAAGAATCTTAAGAGTGAGTAGAAAGCAGCATTTGATGCCTGAGATGTGGTTTTGAGGGGAGGAAAATAGATGAGGTGAATGTATAGAAAGTAAAGGTAGGATGCTCAGGTTTTCTGCATAGTCCTTAATTAATCTTGCCTGCAATCTGGTATTACTAACACTAGCATGGCCATTTGTGCTAAGTTCCTAATAAAATACATATAGAAATCCTTAATGGGACTGATTAAGCCAGTCATATAACTATTCAATGTAATTAGCACAATTTCACCAGTGGTGACCTTACCATGGAAACTCTGATGTAGGTCAAGATATACCTGTATTTAAGTAATTGCTTAGCCCTAAGGATTTTCTTAGAGGCATATGTTCTCATAAATGTTGATTTTTTTCAAAAACAACCCTCAGTTATTACTTGATGAATTACAAATGCATCTGTCTTTGCTTGCTCGTGTAATCTTTTATAATTTGACTTGGCATGCCACACTCTGTGTTTAATTTGATGCAAAATGAAACATAGGAGACTAAAAATATTTTATTGTAAACTAGATGCCATATCAGTGGGGAGAAATGACATTATAAAGTAATGGCATAACTTCAACTACAGTAATAATTGAAAACGGTTCCAGTTAGAACTTATTTTACATCTTAATCATGATTTTAATAGTGAGGCTGACATATAATGATTTGACAAGTTTTGTGAGGGCAAATTTAAAAGTTAGTAGAATGAATCAAATCATTTTGATGATCAAAGTTTTTTTGTTTTAATTCTTACCCCCTATAAAAGTTAACTAATTTGGATCTTGAAGTTAAAAAAACAAATATTTTCCCCTCTTTTATTAGAAGAGTAATTTCTTACATCTGGAAAATTTATTAAATATGCAGCTTGAGAGTCACACCCTAAATTTTTATTTAATATCTCCTAGGATAAGGCTGGGGAGTTCTGGTGGCCTAGTGGGTAAGGAGTGGTGCTGTCAGTCCAAAGGCATGTGCTTCGAATCCACCAGCTGCTCTGAGAAAGATGGTCAGTTTCCTCCCATGCAGTTTATAGCTTCTGAAAACAAACTGGAGAGTCTGTTAGGAGTTTGTTCTGACATAATGGCACATAACAACAATAATAAGCCTGATGGTGTAATAAGTTGCATGTTAGGTTGCTAATTGAAAGGTCAAAAGGTCTGAATCCACCACCACTAAGTGGGACAAAAATAGTACATTGCCTCCTATAAAGATTTACAGCCTTGGAAACTCAGAGGGTCACCATAGAGTGCACCTAGTCAATGGCAGTGGGTTTGATTTGAGTAAGAAGGCTTGTGACCCACTGTTTAAACAGAAGAAGTCATTCTGATTGTTGGCCCATATACTAATTTAGAGAAGCACTTAAAGGTTTCTCTTGAATGAGACCAGCAAATACATAAGCAGGCAGGCTCAGGCAACTAGACCTTATTCTCCTTAGTGGTTAAGTGCACAGTGGATAATCAAAACGTCAGCAGTTTGAACCCTCTAGCTGTTCCAAGGGAGAAGGATGTGTCAGTTGGCTTCCTAAAGGTTACAGCTTTGGAAACCCTCTGGGGCAGTTATATTCTGTCTTAAAGGATTGCTATGAGTTGGAATTGAGTTAATGGCAACAGATTTTTTTGTTTGGTTATAGACTATCTAAACTAATTTTTCATGAAGTCAGATTCAACTCCTATAGTTCAAATGTGATAAAGAATAAAATCCTAACCACACAAAAGTTACTTAAAAAAAATCTGATGTTGATCCCTAATTAAAAGTTAGTCATTACTCAGAGTTGGATAAAAAAGTAAAAGTTTTTAGCCTATTTTGAGGGAGCTCTGGTGGCCTAGTGGTAAGGAGCCATGCTGCCAACTCAAAGGCAAGCAGTTCAAACTCACCAGCTGCTCTACTGGAGAAACATGGACAGTCCCCCTCCCAGGTGATTTACTGCCTCTGGGAAATCTGCTGGAGGGTCACCTGCAAATCCTTCTAATGTGGCAGAACATAACAACAACAATAGCCTATTTTGAAGAAGCTCTAGTGGATGGAGAATTGTGCTGCCAACCCAAAGTCTGAAAATTTGAATCCACTAGCTGCTGTGAGGGAGCCAATGGGCAATCTGCGCTTATGCGACTTACTTCCTCTGAAAACTCTTCGAGGGCCAGTGAGGAGTAGTTTCTGATCGCAAGGAGTTGAGCCTATCTGACATGCATTAAAATTGGCTAGCTAAGTCAACTACAAAAGAAAATAACAAATCCATCTCCAGTGAAAGAGGGACTCTCAGTAGAAACTGAAGACATGTAAAAGGGTAACTGGAAAAAGTCTGCAGCTTTTGGTGATGCCACACACAATGGAAGGAAGTGAGTGTGCTCAGTCCCGTACCATCCCTGTGTGTGGTTGCAGATTAGGTAATTGTGATCTACAGGGGCTTTCATTGGCTGATATTAGAATGTAAATCCTCCAGCCTTCCTTCCCATACTCTGGAAACCCTGCTGAAACCTGCTTAGCAAAACAGCAACTCACAAGCCTTCATGGATGTTTTGGTGGTGGCTATGCACAGACTGGCTTAGAAGTGGACCTAGGCCTCCTGTATGAAAGGCAAGAATTCGACCACTGTCCCCAAATTTAGGTCCATATAGTATTGACTTCCTAAACAACATGTGTCTGAAACTCTATGAATTTTGATAAATGATGATAGCTCTAGAAAGTCTTCAAGCTTTTTGTTCGTAGGGTCACTATGAGTCGTGCTCGACTCGACGGCAATCAACAATAGTTAACAGCTTAGCTGAAACAGGCACATTTCTTTATGGGATGTTCATAGTTCATAAAAGATAGTTTTGAACACAGAAAATGGTCAGTGTTCATAAAAAATAAGTAGACCAGTATTAATTGAAGAATCTGAACAGTTCTATGCATTCTCTTCCAGAAAATGAAGAGGAGGAAACACTTCTCACCTAATTTTATTTGGCAGTATTATCTCAGCCTCAAAATCGGACACAAACACTGAATGTCATAAAGTGCTATTGTATAGGGAAGACAGTCCTGTGTTTTAGTATTAGTCCCCTTCTGTTCATGGGTTCTCGTTCTATTCAGGCCATTTTTTTTTGCTCTTACGGAAAAGAATTACTTTGGCATCATTACAATGATATGGAGTTTTGTGTGATTGGATTATGCTCTTTAGAAGAAACGCTGACATTATCAAAATTTATCTCAAAATTATCGTCCTAATCTAACTAGAGAAACATGAGGGCATTATGTAAATCTTTGTATACATTCCACTTAGGAATATTTGACTTACATTAACTATACTGAATTGTATTTGCTGTAGCTTTTATGATGCTGTGTAAAATGATAACATATCCTTGTCAAGTAAATGACATTTTCATTTAATGTACCAAATTATTTACCTACTTTTTTTTTTTTACCTACTTTTTATAATGTGGTTTAAACAGTCTATCCACGATGGCATTATCAACCTTTGCTTAAGACATGAATGTGTTTATTGTTTATAACCAGAAGAGTATGTAATTAAGTCTAATTAGCAAATTCCAAACGATCATTCTGTTAACTTTGTAAATTTGTAAAAGAAAGTTCAATCATGAGAAAGATGCTTAAACAATCAAAATGCAGTGCATACTACTGTGGCTACAAAGTCTTGTTTCATCATTTAGCTAATATAGATAATTCTGGAAGATTAATTTTACACTACTTGCACTTTATTTTGCATAGACATTTCATTAATTCAAGGAGCAAACCTCATTCTGACCATACCTTTCACTTTGGAAACAATTTGTCATGGCAATAAATATTTATGCATTTAAGAAAAATGAATTTTTGTATTTTACTTTAGTGCATTCTTATACTTAAGAAATTCCATATACATCTTTGAATTTCAGCCAAGAGCACTTTAACAGCTAAAGTTTTGCTCTTACAAAATATTCACTTATTACATTCATGTCACAGAGTTGTTTACAGTCATTAGCTGTTGGATCTTGATGTAAGTAAGTTTGATACAGAGGCAAGTTTTTTATGAATTTGTGATTTAGTTTCAAGCTCAAGTATCAGAAGCTGGGACTCTGAGAAACAGAACTACCAGCTTGTCTTCAGCCCGCAGGTTCTTCTGTGTCCAGAGGCAGTGCAAGTCCCAGTGCTCACATCTGCAGCCACTCCCCTTCCCTGCCCTCTGAAGATTAATACGCTTGGGAGAGGGGGTTCTCAGTAAAACGACAGCATGGCTGTCCTGCCCAAGAGAAGCTACCCTTCACTTGTGACCAGCTCTGAGGGCACTGGAATCAAGGAAATTTTCATTGTGAAGGGAACATGAGTATACAGAGGTCAACTTTAGTGAATATCCTTAAACAAGTTGGGAGGATTGGGAAGTGGTTCCAGAACCTGTTGCCAGGTAGTGCAATATTCAAAGTACTCAAGATGAATTTGAGAAACTGACATCATCTCAGGAAAGTGGTGGCAATATCCTACAGATGATGTGTGAAAAAACCTGAACAATGGTCTTTTGTCTTACCTTCTAGTCCCATGTCCACCTTAGAATACGAGCTCAACTTGCATCTCTCAGTGGCAGACTCAAATGCTGAGAAGCCAGTATTATTTTCTTGAGCTGTGTGTAGTGATAGGTATACTTTTGCATCTAATTCATATGAATCTGACTGCATGAATGAAACAGAATGGGCGATTTTTCAAGACTGGTATGTCTGGATGAATAATAACCAATTTGGTTAACTGGATGGAATAATTAATGTCAGTGCTACTCCAGAGACCTGGAGTGGAATAGACTGAGGGAAAAAAATGAAGAATAAGACATTCCCATGACATTTAAAGAAACTTCACTATAAGCATGGAAGCTGACTACTGCATAAAACAAGGAAAACCAACTTTGATTATTTACAAGATACCTGTATTAACACTGGATGTTAATGAAAACTTCAAAGACAAATGTGAAAATGTAGTTGAAAGGTCAAAGAATTTTTTAGTATTTTGTGGTCTTTCTGAAGACTACAGGTCTTTGTTTCCAGACACTAAATATGGAAATACAAAGGCTGCAAAACTCAAGTGTCTGGAAACAATTGGAGACCTGTAGTCTTCAGCAAGATCACAAAGTACTCAAATATTCTTTGACCTTTTTGACCAGATTTTCATGTTTGTCAGAGACCTCTCCAGAGTACTGAAGAGCAACGATGTCAGTCTGTAGATTAAGATGCGCCTGATCTAAGCGATGGTCTTCACAATAACTTGGATGCACCAGAAAGCTGGACAATGACTAGTAATGATAGGAGAATTGATGCTTTTTGAGCTGTGGAGCTGGAGAATAGTATTGAATATACCATAAACTGCCAGAGGAACAAACATGTTCTTCCTAGAGAGGATGAGACCAGGCTGCTCCTTGGAGGCAAGGATTCTGAAGCTTCATCTGACATACTTTGGGCATGTTGCAAGGAGGGACCAGTTGTTTGTTTTTTTTTATTTTATTGGAAAAAACATATTGGGGGTACAATGAGGTGAGGGGTGGGAGCAAAAGGGTGATGATGGGCAGGGATTAAGATTGCAGGGGTGCAGTTGTAGAGCTGTACCATTTGGTTGGAGGGGGGAACAGGTGAAGGAGATGAAAAGGATCCAGTGTGGACCAGATGCTACAGGGGAATGGTAAGCCTATTCCAATGGTGATTAAACCAACTGTCTTACTGATTTGGGAACTGGATGCAGACTCTCCGGCTTCTTCATGCTGAACAGGGGCGTAGATGTGAAGGGGGAAAGGGAGGACACTTCATCATCTTACTGGTGGTGTTGGGTTAAAGCTGCTTGCCTTCTTGTTCTGTGAGATGTTTTCCTGACATTTGCTCCCCTCTGGACTGCAAAATGTTTCTCCAGGTGGGTTCAGTGGGGATGGCTGGTTGAATCCAGAGGATCCATCCTCCTTTGCTGGCAGTTGTATTTCCTTTTTGTCACTGGCACTGGGTTCAGGATCAGGTCTGGAGTAAAACTCAGTGTTAGGGTTACCTATAGGAAAGGGAGCAAACCTAGAGAGCACAAACTTGTGAGTTACAAATAGAAGGTCTTTGGGGGTGTTACTTTCAGATTTACTGGGGAAGAGCGTGGCGGAATGTAGCCGAGATAAAATTCTCTGGATACCCTAGGCATTTTCCCCCCCACCTAGGGGCCAGATGGCACAATCTGGGGACTGAGGAGCTCACCCTGAGGGCCATGCCCCGAGCTGGGGGCCAAAGACAGCCCGCCCCGAGCAGAGGGCCGTGATGGGGCGCCCTGGGCCAGGGGCTGAAGACAGCCCGCCCCGAGCCCCAGGCCGAAGACAGGAAGGGACCAGTTCTTAGAGAGGGACGCCATACTTGGGAAGGTGGAAGAACAGCACAGAGAAGACGACACTCGATGAGATGGATTGATTCAGTGACTGGGGTAATGAGAGTAGGTGTGTCAGAGACAAGGTTGTCAGAGACACAGGACTGAGCAGGGTTCAGAGCTGTTGTACATAGGGTCACTATGAGTCACATGTGACCCAACTGCACATAACAATTTAAAAAAAATACAAGTTTTCATCCACTTTTGCTGCAAGAAAATGAGTTTTAAAATATGAACCCTATGTAAATGATTTCTGTTGTTCGTTACTTAACTGGAAACTTTAATGGTACATAGAAAAATGTGGCACTATTAAAAGGGAAAATTTAAGATATTCCTAAAAAAAAAAAAAGCTAGGGAGTTCTGATGGCACAATCCATAGCGAGTTTTGCTGGTAACACAAAAGCAGCACATTTCTGGTGATTTAAATTCACTAGGGCTTTCCTATACTTGGACCAAGAGGCAGTCATTAGAGCAAGGAGACACTAGATGGTTCAAAATCAAGAAAGGGATCCATCAGGGATGTACTGTCTCCATACCTTTTCAATCTGTATGCAGAACAGATCATCCGAGACGCTGGGCTGTACAAGGAGGAATGTGGCATCAGGATTGGTGGGAGAGTCATCAACAACCTGTGTTATACAGATGACCCATCCCTGCTTGCTGAAACTGAGGAGGACCTGAAGCGCTTGCAGCAGAAGGTCAAGGACTGCAGCCTCCAATACGGATTGAAGCTCAACATCAAGAAAGCCCAGGTTAAAAAACCAAAA